AAAGTGGGCACGCGGATTGGTTGGAAGATGTAAGACGTATGAAAAAGGGAAACATGAATAGACCACTGTCGAAGCCAATCAATGACTGTCTTGAAGCAAGCAGCGCGACGTCACTCTGCAATAACCGGTAGTAAACATGACAAAAGGGAATAAAATGTCCGAGTGTGAAGCTGGATATGTGGGTGTTACGATAACAAGCGTGCCCCGACATACAAGTTAACAGTCAAATAGGTTTTGTCATCTGCTATGATCAAGGAAACCGCAGGATGGCATCCCATCGGAGTCAGAAAGCCCTTTTTCACTGCGGACGTGCAGAAATGAAAAACATCGCTCCGCCGTGGCACCCTTTCTGTGTCAAACTGTCATGTCATCAGAAGGAAGCAAGACGGCTGAGCTACTGACCAGTTGCCCAAGCTTGGACAGGGGAAGTTGAGAGGCACGGGTCGTGTTCGAACCACGGACCTTACGGTCACTAGTATTCGCCCAGTATTCACTGGGTGTACTGAGATCGGGTGGCGAGATCTACCAGTGGTTAGAGTGCCAATTGACTGATCGGAACGTCGAACCCGATTTCCGTCTCTCGACTTCCCCTGTCTCGGGTTGAGCAATCTGGCAGTTTCCCCCGCCTGGTGCTTCCCTCGGGTGGCATGGCGGCTGGGCATCGAAAGGGTGATACAGCTGAACGTTACTCACGAATATTCAGATTCCCATTTGCTCCATGTAAAGAGTGGTGGTTGTTGTATAAATGCTACTCGAAAGGATGATGAAAACTGTTCGACAGTCCGCTACCAGTTTCGGCCTTTTCAGGGCGTCAGGAAGGCCTAATCTCGACTTTCCACCAACCTTGTCATAGAGGAGAGATTTGGTTGATTCTCATGTAAACACCACAGTAACTTAAAAATCAGGGTATTCCAAGGGGTCTCATACATTTACCTAGCCAGGTTGTAATCTCTTAGCCTCCTGATTACTCTGCTATGTGGCTACAGAAATGCGCTATTCGCAAAAGGGAAACATATCGAGCATCAATCACCTGAATGTGTAGACCTCCAAACAACATCCGATCGTTCACTTACTTTAAGTTCAACCTCGTAGGAGAATTTCCGGTCACGTTTCTGACAATAAGTCCCCCCCCCAAAAAAAAAAACTTTTCTCACAAAAACCCCCCCCCCCAAAAAAAAAAACGAGTCCCTGGTATGCACCGAAGGAAATAAGACAAGTGAGTGATTCAATCGATCTTTCGGAAGCCAGACATTAACATCCCGTAGCAAATCACCACGCTGAGATGGAGAAAACCACATGTGTGGCCAATCGCACTGGCAAGCGGGGAAGCTACAATCACTGGTCTTCCAAGCTGACACACAAAACCACCAGCGATTTCCACCGTAGAACCCGAAATCGAAGACAGAGTCAGAGCATTTTGTCACGAGAAACGTCTAACGTCAGGCATCACAAACGTCGGTAGTCTAGGCATGTTGTGGCGCAAACCATGAGTCAGCTGATACTGTCTACAAAACATCACATCCAAGGGATTTACGAGCCTGGCTAAAGACACCATGGGAGCGTAAGCCAATGGTGGACGCCCAAAGTAGGCTAGTGTCGGACTATTCGAGTCTACCTATTGCGAGGACTGAGGTTCGCACGAAATGGAACATCCACTGTTCAACAGCGGAGTCGACTTTCATGTGCTTAGCAAGTTCGGTTGGAGCCTGGAACTTGTGTACGATTGTCCTCGACGTTCAGGTCTTACAAAAAAATCGTTCAGCTGTAGCACCCTTTCGAAGCCGCCCGAAGGTTGCATGAGGGCTGGGATACTGCCAGCTGGCCCAAGCCTAGACAGGGGAAGTCGAGAGGCAGAGGTCGGGTTCGAACCACGGACCTTCTGGTCAGTCCATTCGCGCTCTAACCACTTGGGCCATCTCGCCCGATAAAACAGTGGGACAAAAATTTGGCCAACGACCCCATCCAGAAATCCAGAGATGATGGGCGTTCAATGAAGAACAATGCACTGTCAAAAGGGATCACGTTGGCCGAAAAAGGATCTACCTGGAGGTCCGAAGGACAATGCCACATGCAGCTGGTTGCGATCGTCTGCTGACTTTCCTCATCAGCTGGTTGATCTCGTTCACAAGAACCGAATGAAGTCAGCGGTTGCGGTAAGTTGATTCCCGTTTTTAAAGCCAGTAGGTTCTGCATAATCGACTCGGCTCCCGCGTCACTCAGAATTCCAATGACAGACACACGGCACGATTTGTGCGACAGGTAGCCCAGGAACCGACGCGTATGGGTCAACAATATTGGAGTGGGCCGTTCTGCATCTTCCGTTGCAAGGTGCCATATTTGGTCGAGAATATTTTCAAGGGCAGAAAGCTGTGTGTCGTCCTCATTGGTTGACGGCGCCGGTTCTATGGGAGAGAAAGGAAGAAAAACTGAAGTGCATATCCCCAGTTTGCATGTATCGGGGTTACGTATTCTCTGTCGCGTGTCGATTGTCATCTGCCAATCGTCGATCTACAGACTCGTTCACTGATAAACGAAGAAGCACAATTACTTTGTGGAGAAACTGAAACTAGAGGAACACAGCAACCCGTAAAGACTAACTACTGGATACAAGCTCCTGATTAACAGATCGGAATGACATAAAACGGGGATATTGCAGTTGACGGCCTGGTCGAAATTCTCACACGTGTGGAAAACTACAAACAGCTGGCTTGGAAAAAATTCAAAAAAATCGTCCAGCTGTAACACCCTTCTGGTGCCTAGCTGTCATGCCACCCGAAGGAAGCACGAGGGCTGGGATACGGCCAGGTTGCCCAAGCCTAGACAGGGGAAGCCGAAAGGCAGAGGTTGGGTTCGAACCACAGTTCTTTCGGTCAGTAAATTCGAGCTCTAACCACTTGAGCCACCTAGGCCTCCATCGTCATCATTCTACGGTGGGGGATGCGCGTCCAAGCCAGCAAATCGTGAAATCACTCAGCATTACCCGTCTGGTTTAAATTAGTTCTGAAGCTGCTTGACCGCGAAATTCTGATAGGTAGGTCATCGGTCGACATAATCAGTGGATGAACGATCGAGGAGACATCTCAAATACGAAGATGCTCGATTGTTGACATCTAATAAGTCAGGTACAAAGAGAATGCGCTCATACAGTCCCGGTAGATCAATTGCCCCATATGTCAAGAGACTGGTGTGAGTCACAGACCATGATCAGCTAATGACGAGCTCTGAAGAGAATGGAACCCCGGTTCAGCCCTTCCCACTTAGTCTATTTGCTGGTGTGTGTGGAGGTTCGCCGGCAAGCGAAGTTCCCTCAGCAACGAGCAGATTGTCTGAGCAATGCACACCCGAATCGGTTGGCAGCCGAAGAGAGTACGAAGTAACACCCAGTTGCCGAACCAAAAGCACAAGACAGCTATCGTCTTCGCATACTCATCACTCTTGAAGAAGCCTACTTCATATCGTTATCGTAAGGCCCCTTGAAGGTTGAGAATGGGAGGAATGAAATATTTGTGCCGTCAAGGCGATATGCCTTTGGACAACAAGTGTAGTTCTCAGGTGATGTGAATTGTTTTTGGTTAAGTTGCAGAAGTGCACACATGGGAGCTTCCACATCGACCTATAACAGAATATGAAATCCCCAGTGAATAACAACCAGCAAGTTAACGAGAAAACTGGCGACAAGAAATCACTTAGCTGTATGAAATCGAATAGTCCAGCTGTAACACCCTTCAGGTGGCTAGCTGCCATGCAAGCAAAAAGAAGCACGAGTGCTGGAATACTGCCAGGCTACCAAAGATTAGACTAGGGGAAGTCGAGAGGCAGGGGTCGGGTTCGAACCACGGACCTTCCGGTCAGTAAATTCGCACTCCAAACACTTCTGGGTTAATTCGGAGAAAAGTAGTGCAGAGGATCCCAAAAGTGACAAAGCGCACCTGTTAGTTTTCGACAATGGCGACTTGCGCCTCCTTCAAGATCTCGGGCTATCAGTACGAGACGAATGTGTTTTAGGCGTAGGTGTTTGACGACCTCGCGAAGACCGCAAACATAGCGCTTTGTCCTTTTACGATGATGTGGGGCGTGTGCGAATTTCACGTATGCTCGATCTTGAAGTTGGGACAATCGTTGCAAGAGTTCGGTGACCAAATCGTCCTGTCGTTTGTTATCGGATTTTGATGAAGAACTATGCAATGTCGGGCGTTGGACATTTGTTCCTGTCTAGAAAAAAAAACAATTTTGTTAAAGGCTGGTCTGAACAGTGGACATACCTTCGTGATTACGTCTTGATTCGCGGGCGATGGGACGTCTCCGTTGTTGCTGGGATCTCCTGTAGAAAGTGCACCACTCCTAGCTGTCGCCGGAGCTGAAGTACTTCGTCGATTCTTTCGAGTTTCTCGTTCGGCAAGTATGGCACGCTTCAGCGTTGTTGGTCGTTTGGTTTTGGGTGTTTCGCGCACTTTTCCTATGCGTGCATTCTCATTGATGCCTTTGAGTTGAGTTTTCTGAACTACGGCAGCATGAGAAGTCACTGGTTTACGGGGAGAAACTTGTGGTTCAACGCTGATAAACTGGGATAGGGGAATTTCGATCGGTGCATCGTACCGACGGGCACCGGAGGAGTTATGAGGAAGAGTCCGAGAACGACCCAGTGAGGATAGCGAGGACGCGCGAAGTTTTCGGCGCTTTCCCTTCTGCAGGGGGCTACTCGCGTGAGGGAATTCTATTGAACCAAGCTCAATAAGTCCAGGGACCTTTTTTCTATTCTTCGATCTGCGTTTGTTCGATGACCCAGCACGAGCACCAGAAGGTGATGATGCCACAGGGGCATCGCAGGACACGGTGGAAGAACTCTGTATCGGGTTCTGTTCCAGACTACTACTGTATCCAGAACTACATGGTACTGGATCAATTCCATTAGGATTATTTGCTTTCGGCCCCAGTTGAATAGAGTTCCTCTGATTCTTGGTGATAGATGGTTTTTCAGGTTGACCTGTGTGTTTTGTTTCCAATGGAGAGCGTGCGGAATTTGGGGGTTTTCTGGCTGCTACCGAAGCATACGTTACCGGAGAATATGATATTCTCGTTGAAGAGGCATCGGCTTTGTTCGTTCTCTGGTCGGTTCGGGAGGGATCCTGTGGGTACTGGTTTGTCGGTAGGGTTGGACCGCGTTCGCCGAGTGCAGACTTACATTTAGAAGACTCAACGCTGCCGGAAACCGCAGCGAACTGATAAGATGGTAGTATGCTCGCATTGAAAGGCTCGGCACCTCTGGCACTCTGACGAGACGATCTAAGAGGAAATCGGCCTCCGGAAGGCGAGGCGGTGTCGGATACAAGTGTAGTCGTAGATGTGACACGTTTCTCAGTAGAACCCATAAGGGGGGTTGAGCGCGTAGTACAATGCGACACTCACAGTAGACGCAAACGGATTCATTCGACAGAGTCGAAGCTGAAATTAAGAGAAGTATTAGATTAACCTGGAAACTCAGCAAGTGCTCTTTACCTACTAAACAGTCGCGACGTTAGACATGGTCGGGTGTGAACACAATAATTCAGCTCGTTATTTCTAATGACTCATTGTTAGTGAGGACAGAAGGCAATTGATCTCTTCATTGAACTGAGCAATTCGGTTGCAGAGCCTTCGTCACCAAGTGAGATGGCCCAGTATTGATCATATTATCCCTTTGATAGCTTACCGCTCGTGACTCATGATAGCTGCGCATATAAACGACGCCAAGACTGAACAAGTTCGGTGCCGGAGGGGGAACAGTGTATAGCGGCTATGCAACCAGAAGGAAGCACGAGGGCCAGGCTGCCCAAACCCAAGGAGGACAGTCGGGATGGAGGCTGAATCCGAACCACGTGGCCTTCCGGTTGGGTTGACCCCGCCTAAACCACTGAGCTACCTAAAAATGATATCAGAACACAAGCATTCACCTGACACAACCTTAAAACACTTGAGCATATTCAGCCGCCTGATTCAATCCTTCTGTGATTATACATCGAAAACATGGCGCGACCCTTAGAGCAACTTCACTGACTCACAGAACAGAAAGACGTGGCACAAACAAAAAACTATCGGTCGGCGGAGGTCAATAGTAGCTTTAACAGTCCTTGTGAGTAGATATTGAAATGCACTGATCAGTGAGTTGTCCCGGTGACGATATCTTTTTCGATTGAAACCAACTCAGGAGAATTCGATATAAACAAATATAACGGCTTCAAAATTTCTCCGCACTAGGGAGCAGTGCACATCCACGTGCGATGTAAGCAAGCAGTTTTTGTGGGCGAGTTTTGGTACCGCTTACATCTGTATTTATTGGGTAATCACAGTGTTCAACAAGGTCGTGTTAGAATCACCGTGAGGGGGCGAGAAGCGTCAAGTCAAAGATGCTCGCTCCGGATTGGCTGGCATTCTGACCAATCAGAGCATGCCTTCGTTTGGTCCGTGTCCTGCACGTGACACATCCGTCCAAATGATGTGACGTTCGGTTATTGGGGACGGCTGGCCTCCGTACACAAGGGCATCGGTATCAGCTGACTTTGGAGATAACGCTCATGAGTCTGAGGATAGAGACACATACCACGAAATCAAGGGGGACCGATTTTCTCATTTCCTCTTGTTCGTTGGTCTGACTAAAGCTAAGCGGATGGATGACTCGACTCTGGCCCATTTTTGAGGTGGACAGCACCCAGTCTCTTTCAGGAGATTCCTAGCACGAGAGAACGAGTTGGGCTGGCCCCATGGATGTACTGTCTGGAAAAAAGTATACGTAAACCCTTGTATCGTTTAATTCCAAGCTTCAACAAACGCCTTAGGTTAGACGCTCCACAATAGTTTAGGTCGGTGGTGTCGCACACTAACCTTCATTTCCAAAGTAGTAGATGCGTCTCCGCCACCAGGATGTGAGTGGGATTTACTAGGCGGAGACGACATTAGTGGGAGATCGTGCAACATTGATGACCATCATGTCCTGAGGAAACGGGGCGACTGATGAGCGGCAAACAATGCGGTCAAAGACGAAACAGCCACCTCCTACAGATAAATCCTAGCCCACTAATCCGGGACAGCTAACCGGTTAGGGTGCAGAGCCACCAACCGCAAGGTCGGTCGTTCGAATCCAACCCTGCTATTGGGATAGTCCCTAGTTGAGCTTGGACAACCTAGCAGTATCTCACACGTGTGCCTCCGAGTTGCACGGGGCACCGACAGGGTACCACAGTTGAACGGCTATATATCATTGTTTTCACGCACTGCAACGAACCCCTTGTAACTACGACTAGTAAAAACAGACAATCACCACGGAAGAACGTTCAGCGGGTCACCGCATCAAGAAAGAACTACACATCCGAGAAGACTGTATTGCACAAAATGTATAAAAGTACTTCGGTATCAAATCACGTGTCAAGTGCAAGTAAGTCAACGGGAATGAAGAACCAAATGCTGATGTAGGAACACGTCAGGTTTTGGTGACGAAGGGATCACGATCCAGAATTGATGGGGTCACTGTGAATACAAAAGAAAGAAAGATACATCAGATAAGCATTTAAAACCGCCGAGCGGCCGTGGTGCGGCTGGGGCGTTTGGTCGAGCCAAACAGACAAGTTATCATTAAAACACTTTATTTGTTTATCGTTAGGTCCAAAAAAATGAAGTGGGATAAAACGGTACCCATTAGTTTGTCCGACTTTTGAAATAAGATGATAGATGAATTGAAATGGGCAAAAAATGTACGCGTTTACACAGGGGGCCGATGGGAAAATTTCATCGGTGGAAACACAGGCAACCGTTGGCAGTTTTTGTTTATCAGCTGTAAACCATGTCCTAAGACTAACGCTTCGGAGATATCCATGGCTAAACAAAGCAAGATTTCGTACATCCTCGGCCGTTTCCGATCCGTAAAGCATAATGGGACATGCGGCCGCAGTATCTACACACAAACTGACGTTGTGCCTGGGGTGTGGATGTCTGTAATTGGTAAAAGCTGTCAAGAAATTCTCGATTCGAGAAGTGATCTCGTCTCCAGCCAGCCACCGGGACTTATGCAAATGCTCAGCTGAGTAAATTTATCTACGAATCGATTGGACGGTCGACAAGCATAAGGTGTGTGTTTGATTCCATAGACTTGTAACGCCACTCTAGGTTTCTGCAGTTCCAAAGGGTCTGATCCAAGGTGGCGATATCATCAGTATCCTCGATGTTTGTGAGTATTTCAACCCCCAAAGTTTCAGAGACAAGCAGAGGAATTTCACGCAGCATGGTAATAGTAAAGTCGAAAAGGAAGGTGAGAGAGAGGCCTTTTCTCACACCATTGGATGTGGAGGACTCAGGCGAAAACTTACTGTATCCTCATAAAGGAAACTACTCACAAGGTTGCTGAAAACTCTTCGACAGCCCACAACCGGTTTCGCCCTTCTTGGTGCTCATCAGGTAGGCGCAGTCCCCGAGTTGCCGTCAACCTTATGATCTACTTGAACCCAAATTGCACTGTTTTCGAGAAATACACTCATTTGCAAATCAGTTTGGTTTTCACGGAAGACTCAATCGAATCTCGATATCGTGCCAACTGAATCATGAGGCGGCCTGTGTGCGGCACATTGAGCTGGAGGACACCATAAACGAGAGATTCGATTGAGTCTCCCGTGAAAACCAAATTGATTTGCAAATGAGTGTAGTTCTCGATTACTGTATCCTCGTATCTGACCACAGCAATTCGTGCAAATGGATATAAATTTAAAAAGGAAACCTCTGGTCGCCAGACAACACCGAAATTCCTGAAGATCGACAGAGTCGAAAGCAGCTCTGAGACCATGAAAAACGACCAACGTTGGCCGTTTGGTATTGTGTTGTACTGGCAAGGTAAAGCTATGGTTGATGCATTCTCGGCGAGGGCGAAACCCAGCTTGATTCTTACGAATCTGTCTCTCGTGATAATCGGTCAACCTGCGCAAAATAGTGGCGAAGAACACAAGGGATGCCAAGATGGTTTTCGCATGACGCTCCTGCGCCCTTTTGAAGAATGGGATCACGGTCGAGCCGCTCCATTCCACTGCTTTTGTCTTCATCCAAAATCTCCGACAGTATGGTTATCAGATTAGCTTTTTCCACCAGAACCTCACCATCCTCGTTGAAAGGTGCGGGATGCAGACCATTTCAGGTCTCTTGTGTTGTTGAAATGATACCTCACACTGGATTTCTGTCGATGACGGCCAAATCGTGTTGCTGTTCCATTCAAAATCGTTGGGTATTTCTGGAGGATATATTGTAGGCGAGCTGAACTGTTCTTTGAAGTGCCCAACCCATCGCTGAAGACGACGAATTAGTGGATCAATTGCCGTTCCTTCTTTTCCGCATATTGTTTCACTGATACTCATCTTCTTTTGACCGGTTAATCGAATCGAGTGAAGCAGGGCGCGGCCGTTGTTTGCGGCGAAAGCCTTCTTCGTCCTCTGGGACTTCAGAATCCACCAGCGTTCTGTCATTCTTCAAGCTCCTGATTATCCGGTGTTTGCGTACGCCATCACAGTCACTGGAGCTTTTCTGGCATCGATAAGATCTCCTAATCTCGACGATATCCAGTGTTCATTTAGTTGTGTCACCTCCATTCAACCTCCGAGCAATTTCCTTCATCTGCATGACTGTGCGCTTCGAGTAGTCAGATCAGCTCGATACTCTCTAGCTATTGAAACTTGTCGAAATTGATGAATGGAGCTGCTCTCCTCTGCAAGCGTAATGCTGGCGGAAAGTGAACCCAAACCGGCCCCGCACGATGGCGCGATCGCAGTCAAGTTGGGCACCCCAGATGGAACGACAATCTTAAGTTGAGATGCCCGATCGCTTACTAGCAGCCAAGGGATCCAGATGAGTCCATGACTGACTCGAGGTCAGTGGCCTCCAATGGACTCGATGTGAGCGCACATGCTGAAGTTTTCTACTGGCCAGAAACAGACAAGTTGCCCGATAACTACGCAGTTTTTGACGATGACGATGAAAAGGGCGTGTGCGTTAGCACCACAAGAAGCATTTAACTCTGGGGCTTACCAGCGAATGGTACACAGATTAGAAGACGTGTTGCGGAAGGAGTTAAATTTGGTGTGCGTGCAAGAAAAATCTTATGTCTGCATCCCCACCGCCCTGCTCTGAGAGTGGTAGCCGCTGGAACCGCGAATTGCTTTGAGCATAACACATCGTCACCCCCTGTAAAACGTACACACGTTGTAACCGCGAATTGCTTTGAGCATAACACATCATCACCCCCTTGATCAGTGTGTCCTTTTACCCCCGGTGTTTTGGACAAACTGGACTTCGCATGAGTATCAACCGTGAAAGTACATTGCTGGCCCTAGGGTATCCATGCGTTTTCAGAAACTAGGCACGGAAGAGGCGACCACAAAACTTCTAAAAAAGATTGACCCCATTTTCAAAACAAGGGTTAGTTTCGCTGGATCCGCAAGCAGGATCAGAAGTGAATCTTAACCTGTTTGAACAAACCTGGCCTATGACCGCCACTCGCGTCCGAGATAGTATGAGACACTCGTGTGAACGACTCATCCCAACGCGAGTCAGTCACCGTAAACTAGTACACTTGAAAAAGATGAATGAACTTTCCTTGTGTCCAGTCATCAGGAGAGAGGAATGAACTGTCACAGTATACTGAAATGAATTCATCGTGCGAAACGGTGTCGCACACATCCGAGTGTTCCTGGGATTAGTCACTTGAGTCCAACCACTGGCTCAAACACGAGACATAATTCAATGGCGCTATGCTTCGAGTAGGCAACCACACGCACGAAAACCGATAGGACTAAAACGCATTAGTGCGTCAGCGTTATGCACAATCTCTCTCGCGTGAATCGAACGCTAGCTGTCCGCCAGGCTGAAGCATTGGGCGCCCAGCAGGAGCACGCTGAAAAGCAGTTGCACATCATCGTATGTTTTTTACAGCCTGAAGTACAACGTTCACCAAAGAGTGCATACCCTTTCGGTGCACAGCGGTCATGCCACTAAAAAAGAGGCTGCGATACTGTCAGTTTGCCCAAGCGTGGACAGGAGCGGTCGAGATGCCAGCAAGTTTCCGCCTCAACTACTGAGTCATCTTGAGCTCCAAGGAGTGAAGGACGACTGTTCGACTGATCTCTAAGAGGTGATTCGTCAATTGCACTATTTTCATTCCTTTCCAACCAGTGTGGTTAGTGGTGCCCGTACGATATCGACCATCTCTCATGAGTCGAGCTCGACTCTCTCGGGTTCGCGAAAATCCAAACAGAAACCAAGTTACGTTGAAACCAATGTGCTCCGTCTATGCTATGTCGTTCAGTTGTATCACTCTTTCGGCGCGTAACTGCCATGTCCCCAGGAAGAAGTACGAGGACTGGGATACTGCCAGGTTGCCCAAGTCTAGACAGGGAAAGTCGAGAGGCAAAGGTCGGGTTCGAACCTCTGCCAGACCTTCCGGTCAGCGAATTCGCCGTCTAACCACTGAGCCATCTCGACCCCTGTCTAGTTGAAACAGCTCTACAACTGATTGCCACAAGTCGTAAGCAGAAAAACAGAGCTGCAGCACTACGAAACAAACAAACAATGACCGGATCAAATTACTTTCAGGAAAGGAAAAAGGTAAAACACACTCAACGCACTGAAAGAAGCCGAGTAGACACAAACCTGTGCGGATAACTCATCGCCAGAATCCATCAACAGAGCGACTATGCTACTCTGACTTGCTGTCTCATCTTCATCAGTTTGGAGCTTGTGCGAAGATCGTCGTCCATGGGTCGCCAACGGTTTGACCTTGTGCTTTGAGGTGACAATCTTCTCTCCTTGTGTGTTCAGACGTCTGTTTCGACTAGACTGAGCGACTGGACGATTCGCCTCATGGCGTTGGAGATGTTGTAAGAGTTTTTGCTGGGAAACGGAAACGGAATTGGTGGATTCAAGCTGTGCTCTACGGATGGGATGGGTGCAAACCACCAGCGTGGTTCACTTCAGACACAAACTGAATCAAACCCAGTTAATTAATCCTGCATACCGGTTCATTTGTCTGGTTGCACTTTCCGGTCCCTGTGATAAGTTTAATTGGAGAACACATTACTCGGACAGTGATAAGACAGCCTAAGCTGGCAGAGTAACCCCCCTCCCCGCAAGGATCTTTAAAGTCGGAATTCCATATTGTTTCCGTTGGCCTGTGTGCGCGACTCTTCCAACACATTCCGTGTAAGAGCGTTTGAAAGAAGGGGGCACAACGTCCCCCCAACACATCAAAGCATCCAACTAAGTGGAATATCCCTCCCCTGGTGAGCAGACGGTATCACCTGCAGATAGCTCAATGCATCAACAACCAGAAGAACAATAGAAAACCAGTTATCTTAGGGTCCTACAGCAGGGAGGTTGACGTATGGTCCAGGGGTTCAGAACCTGAGCCAGCACATCCCACTACCAGTGTATCATCCGTTACTTTGATGTGTACCATCCATTACTTTGATATTTGAAATTCTCCACGTTTCTTCTGTCCCTATAGTAGTTCTAGTACCAAGCGCCACTCGAAGATATCGCTTTGTCTCGACAACAACCAGTATTCATACCATATTGGTCGACACATTATAATCCCAATACATGGGTTCTCATGAGGATCCGACTAACCCTGGAGTTTAATCCATCCTCATCATCAAGAATGGGAGAAATCCTAGTGGGAATTTCACACAACTTCAAGATGATGGCAAACTGGATTAAATGGCGGTTGAATGAGGATCAACACTCCCTGAAGTTCGAGTTCAGGGAAGATACGTAACGTAACCCCGTCGGTTCCGGGGTTGTTTGTCGTTAAACAGGCCGGGACTCGCCAGATTTGCGTGGTAACTGGTCACTCGTATACATATGCACAAACGGATAGCGCCGGGTATACACAGCATATTAGGCGGAATTCCACATGGATCCCGCTTTACCGCTCGTATTTAGGTGCTGATACGGCCGATAAGCCTATCCCGTACAGGACTGGCCAAAAGTTTGGGACGCTTGCCGGTCCGGTATCAAGCTGAGGTCTGATTGGTCGGAAGTCTGGATACAAGAGCCAATCATGACTTAGTATTGGCTGAATGCCGGTTGCCAGTGGCGCATCTAGAAGGCATCCGAAGTTTGAGAAAGTTGTCACCGCTTACACCATATATAAATATATATATATATGGAGCGCTGTATAAGTGTTCTTGACTCGGCTTTGGGCATTAATATACCTTGTGCACCATCGGTGGTTGTTTTGACGTGAACGCTAGCTTGGGAGGATCAGACCGAAAACTAAGTTGAAGAAAATACCGTTACTACACAGCACACACAGGATGTTATCAATCATACTATGCGCAGAAGAAATCAACAAACTGAACAGAACAATCAGGTGAACCGGTAACTAGCAGTAAGACGATGAAAAAGGGATTGGACCCCTGACAACGCGGCGTTCGAACCTTTAACGGTGACCATTGACCTCACTGCATTCTAGGACACCCTCAGATAAGCAAAACCTACAGACATATGAGCAAATGCCAAAAAGTATTGAGGTTAGCAAAACCACACTTCGACCCTGCTTAATCTCTGGCAGATGTCAGTCACGACGAGTATGCCCGCAAATCGTGATTAGCCTCTGACGAATAATCTAGGCCTTTAGACTGCAGGGTTGAAGTGTCCGCTCGGTTTTCGCTCACCAACACCATAGCACAAAATATAGCTCCGAAACGAACTTAGGTTGTGTTCCCTATCGCACAAAAACAAATGTTAGTCGTTACACTCGGCCGGGATCTTCAAACCACCCGCGGTGCGGCACTGATGAACCAATCTCTCCGTTTCTTTCCTTTCTCCAAAGACCAAACTCCGTGCGAACTATTATATGCCCACCCATCATAAAATCCAACAGTTCAGAGCTCTTCTATGAAAAAATAAAAATTGTTCAACTGTAGCACCCTTTCGGTACCTAGCTGCCATGCCACATGAAGGAGGCACGAGGGCTGGGATACTGCCAAGTTGCCCAAGCCTAGACAGGGGAAGTCAAGAGGCAGGGGTCGGATCGAACCACGGACCTTCCGGGCTCTAACCACTTGGTCCATCTCGTCCTGCTCTTCTACGGTGACTTCTGTGACAGTCACCGTAACTCGTCCCGTGGTTGCTCGTCCTTTACACAGAAGAACTCAGTATAAGACTGTCGCCCTTCATCACCAAACAGGCAGTTTTGAGAAAAAGATAACTGTCACACAGGACACAAGTTACCATCTCCGATTTTAAGAGAACCGGCTAGAGTGACAAGACATTATTCGGGTTGAGCCAACACAATGCAAAGTGTGCTCATGGGCTAAGAAATTTGGCAACTACAAGCAGAAGTAAAAAAAAATCCACGCCGTGGGCCAAAAATTGTATTCTGAACGTACGTCTTAGGCGGAGAGGAACTTACTTTAGTGGACAGCAATACGGGACAGGTGGGCCATGTACACGGGAAAACAAGATCTGCATGGACCAATCGCATATGAGCATGAAGGTTCCTTTTCGCCGTGAACGCCGTTACTTGGATAGTCGCCTCAGACGAGCCCTCGCCCAGCGAGGAACTGGCTTCTTTGGATACTGACGGGAGAATGTGAGGGCATAGGGTACAAACATACTGGCGCCGGAGCTCCGGACCACCAGGAGTGTGGGTTAGCTCGTGTTCCTTGAGCCGACTTGGTCTGTCAAAATGTTTGCCACAGACACTGCAGGTCAGCGCTGAAAAACGCAGGTTCCGGTTGAATATGAAAGCACACGAAATAACGATTGAACAGATAGCAAGAAGAGATAGTCGCCGATGGCTTCATTGCTAGAAATCTCCGAATAATACAGAGGTGAAGTATCGAAAGGATAATGTCTAGCCAAAAATGAACATCCGTTGAAGAGTCTTACATAATGACGATTAGGGTCAGTACTGTGAAACTGGACCCACTAAGCGTTCCCTCCATCAGGGGAACACGTTTGACAACACTTTAGGTTTGCTTCCAGAACTCATCCGTCAACTTGGGTTCCGTGTAGGGCGTCGAGCCAAGGACTGAGACTACGGACTTTGAAACGGGCCACAGTTATTCATCACTAGGGTAACCGAGAGTAAGTGGGTTGCCCACTGTACAGCGCCCAAGCATTGCTGAAGAAAGTGAGACTGAGTCCCATCACTGAACAGCCAATTTGAGACCCTAACAATCAGCGAGCTCCTGAGTTCTCTCCGTGAAATAAGCAAAGATTGATATTGATTAGTCTTTCTAGAACACTGAAAACAGTTAACGCAGATATGAGTCTCTCACCATAGACAAGATTAACCTAGGAACATCACAAACGAGAGATTCAGCTGGGTTCCAGGTGAGTCTCTCGAAAAACCAAATTAGTTTGCAAATGAGTATATATTCGCAATTTGGTTTCAAGTAGAACATAACAGAAACTCGGGGACTACGCCTACCTGATGAGCCCCAAGAAGGGCGAAACCTGTCGTGGGCTGTCGACGAATTTTCAACAACCTTATAAGTAGTGCATTACAAAGATTAGCTTAACTCTATTGAGAAGCCGCATTTTGGGTATAGGAGCCTCTCCCTCCTAAACGAAACCAGAACAGTTTGAAAAGCCGTTTGTTTTGGTACACACTCCCATCATTACCGCACATGAGAAGGAAGCACAAGACAGCAGCCCGAACCATCTCAACTAAGGAACGGAAGTAGATCACGATGAGAGTGCACAGTGAGCGTGAAACACACTTTCCCATTGCACGCGAAAGATTGCACATTTCAAAAGCCTGATGAAGGCCTAGATATGGGTTTTTAACGTCTTGAAAATGTACAGCGGCGCGAGGCGGCGGCTACGACAGACCGCCAAAACACTGTGGTCAGTCACGGAGGGTACGAGTCAAAACAGTTACAGATAGAAAAAACGGGGTATCTCCGACATTTCAGGCTTTGTCAAACTCCTCTCTGAAATTCCTAGCTTCTCGAAGTTCGACACTGAGTCACGTGTTAGACCAACGACAATCGGATCGATCTCATGCTGAACATATAGCCAACATATAGTTGAATCACGCCCATTGGGTGAACCGGCTTCGAGTAAGTCAACCCACTAATCAGGGCAGATGCAAACGGCACAGATACTACAAATAACCCCTGAGAAAACTTGTACAATTCGGTATTGCCTTGGAGTGCAGATTCGGCCAAATCAATTGGGATGTTTTCGTGTGGTCGCTGAAAACGACTATAGTTGTCTGATTGATCATCAAGCTGAGGTTACCGTGTTCGATTCACAGAAAGACTCTGGGCCTGTGACCCCATGACAATGGGTACCGATGCTTCACAAGGTACAGGTCCCTTGAAAAAGAGCCCCATCAGGTAGACGGCTCACACCATTCAAAAGTCGAGATTGGACGGAAGGGGGGTTCTAAAAGCAAAATCAAACAAGACCCATGGTCTCCTCCACATACTCGGGCCTCATCTGAGAAACACGCACAATAATAGAAAGGGGCAGGGAAGAATGCGACGTAAACGTGCTCGAAACGTACGACCTCCCGTTGATCAAACAAGACCCATGGTCTCCTCCACATGCGCAGGCCTCATCTGAGAAACACGCACACTAATAGAAAGGGGCAGGGAAGAACGCGACGTAAACGCGCTCGAAACGTACGACCTCCCGTTCAATAATCCAAGGAACTCACCTGGTTTCGGGTGCACCGAAGCAATGTGCCGCCTCAAGCCAACAAAGTTGTTGAATATGACAGGGTCTAGTCCATCTGAATTGTTTTCACAGTGGGGACAGGTAAATCCGTGGTGCCGAGTCGCGTGACGGGCCAATTTGGACTTGGTGGGAAATGCTTTTGAGCAGTGGTCACAAACGTGTTTGCGTTCGCTAACCTCAAAATTGAGTCCGGAGGGAGAGAAAAACACGAGTATTGAATAAGAACTTTGCTGCGAGGTCAAAGATACACATGAAATATGATAGTAAATCGTGACAGAGATGCTACACATTCGAATTCGTAGAATGAGTAAAAAAATCGAAATGCGACCTGCAACAAAGCGCCGTTGCAGTGGAAATTTACAGTTGGACACGATTTTGTCGAATAGAGATGAAATCCAACGGCGTAACATGGGTAAATTCATACTACGGTTGACGATAGTATGAAGCGACTATAATAATAATAACCGTTCAGCCGTAGCGCCCTCTCGGTGCCTAGCTGCCATGCTACCCAAAGGAAGCACGAGAGCCCGGGATACTGTCAGATTGCCTAAGCCTAGACAGGGGAAGTCGAGAGGCAGATCGGGTTCGAACCACAGACCTTCCGGTTAGTAAATTCGCGCTCTAACCACCTGAGCCATGAAGCGACTGCAGTTAAGGCAACCACAATCGAAAACGTTGAAGGCCCTTCATCAATATCCCTCTAAGAATCAATGAATACGTAATAGATGATTCGCTTTAAGCAAGGACGTTCCACCACAGTCATCGGATGTCAACACCGTTATAACACCGTTCAGAACGTCCGCAACAGTTGAGGCTCACAAGGCGATCTCGCCAACCTTCTCGAAACATACAAGCAACCCCCAATCCAAAAAGCATGTCAAGCGTGGTCGTAATGCTTCGGTGCTCACAAGTAGACCTGGTAACCAACGCGACCAGTAAATTCATGACTTAGCAAGTGCGATACCTCAGGCTCAATGCACTTTGATATGTTACCCTACTAGGGTGCATGCGTATCCATGAATTCAGTTGCTTGTTTTTTACAACAATACAATACACAGTGGTCGTTGAACAGGTCTGCGTAAGACCACAGTACTTCTTGGTCAGCGTCCGCAGCGAGCTGGATTAGTGGTTAGAGCGAAAATTTAGTGACCGGAAGGTCCATGGTTCGTACGCGGCCTCCGACTCTCGACTTTCTCTGTCTAGGCTTGGGCAACCTGGCAGTATCCCAGCCTTCGTGCTTCCTTCTGGTGGCATGGCAGCTAGGCACCGGTTATCGATTTTTCTCATCCTGGCAATGCAAGCCACATTTGTGTGCGACATGGATCTCCAGGACTGCAACGCCAGCTTCACACAGATTAGTTGGTGGCGTCAAAAAAAAATCGGTGTACCTTGGAACACCTGTTGGAATAAAATCACGCATCAAGGAACAAGCACGGAGGCGATCAATCTGTGGGCGGGATATATAGTTTAGCTGTCCGTGTCTGTAACAATCACTGTGGAAAGACAGTGGTTCTCGAAACAGACCACTTTTTACTTCTCTCAGAACCTTGGAAGAAGAAGTCACTTGGAAAAAGAGGCAATCTTGTGTCCATCCTGCGAGACTGTTGCCTCAGAGCGGGGAGGGTTGTACGAAATCGTTGAGTAAATTCCGTTTGACCGTTAAAAATCCACTTCGAGGGACATTGGAAGGAAAAGACCTTGGTCATCGGCGTTTCGATTATTTACCAGGCCGATACAGGTAGGATTATTCGTAAGGAAATTGAACAAAGTTGAAATGGTCTTGTGGTACCTCACAAATGGTTCAAAAAGCTGTCTCGATTAAGCTCACATCCTGCGTCAAATAATCGGACTCAGATTGAACTTTAGATATGACTTCCCCTCAGCCAATTCGGGTAATTTCTCCAAGTCCGTTTGGACGAATTCCTGGATCGCACGACCCCCCCATAAGTAGGAACACACACACTAGAACTGCTGAAAAGCCATAAAAGAGATAAGCATCGACTATTTGTCAACACATTGTAGCTGTGGGATTAGAAAACATCGAGACTTGGTAGAGTTGGCCATAGAAGTCATTGTTTCCGGAGGGTTTCGATGAATTCTGGCGCGACTTCCTTTAGTTCTTGATTTCCAACTTTAGCCACGAAGATAACAGAAAGTTATGGGCCTAGAAGTAAACCACTACTACTCCATCCAGTTGGTAGAGTGGACGTACGACTGCCTTCACATAAACACAGTGCAACGTCTGAAATTCGAGTGTGTTGCAAGACTGAAAGATTCAGAACCGAATTGACCCAAAACATTTTCTGACCAGGTCAAATGCGTGGATTTCAGAGGAAAACAAAGTCATCTGCGAGTCGTTTCCCTACGTTCCGTGAGAGAGTAGAGGGGTGGAGAGTAGTCTGGAAAAGCCCATCGCTGACACTGAAATAAGGCGTCCCTAGAGATGATTGGTTTTCAGCCCTACAACTGGTGTTTATCATGAGAACGAGTAGCGTGAGTCGCAAGCATCCCCAAAAACTTATAGCATAAAGTCATCACTGGTAAGGATGGGGCTATAGGGTTTCATACCACATCTAGGGATGAATTTTATGCCATAGAAATTCCAGCATCGTTCAGCTGTAGCACTCTTTCGGTGCCGAGCTGCCATGCCATCCAGAAGAAGCACAAGGGCTGGGATACTACCAGGTTGCCCAAGCCTAAACAGGGAAGTCGAAAGGCGGAGGTCTGGTTCGAACCATGGACCTTCCGCTCTAACCATTCGGTCCATCTCGAAATTGCGGTATTCTGAACATCAACGTCACCAAGCAGCTCACACAGTCCTGACATTCAATGGCTCTTCTCTGAGTACCAAAAAACTACGTTTAATCGCCCTAATCAGCTCTGAAATTCACCTCAGAATGGACCAATATCAATATCGACTTGGAAATACATTCAACACGAAGCAAAAAAGACAAATCTCACCGGTGCACCATTGCAACATGGGCCCAAACCATCTTCTTCTGACGGAATGGTCCAGCCCCACATTGTGGACAAGAGTAGAGTTTTCTATGCAGGAATGTCTGTTGTAGCTCACCGGTTACAGACGGTGGGACCTTGTCCCCCGGGCAAGAACGCTGATGTCGTCGCAAATGGTCTTCACGGGCATAATTCTTACCACATTCGCAGGAAAAAGGTCTCTATTGGAGGAAACAGGAAAACTCGGAGGACGAGAACAAAAGAAAGAAGCGAAATTAGCCGAAAACGTGTTTGATGCTGTTACTGTCACTTGAAGAAGACTTTCACCAAAAGCTGAACAGTATATGGCTGCACTGGAGTGTACAGCTCGTCAGATCGACACAATATGAAGTCATGCATTCGGTCACAATCGTAAAAAAGAAAAGCAAACCTAAACACTCACCTCACCCGTGTGTTGGCGCATATGCACCACCAGTTGAGACTGTCGCCGATATGAACGGCTGCACTGTTCACAATCAAACATGATGGCACAAAGCGAGCTGGAAAAAAGGCATATCTGCGTA